AATGAGTTCCGGATCCGAGAGATAGAGAACCGGTTTTCCCAACTCATAGACACCGAAACACTTGCCGTTACGGACGTAGAGATCCCGTTCCCAATCGATACACTGTTTCGTGAGTCGTGTGTATAGACTGACACTCGCTGTCCGTACGCCTTGTTTACGCCAATAGTCACACTTGCGGTCAAAGTATCTGACATAAGGAATATATGATATTTATTTATCATTGTAACAAACTATATACAGTATAATATATAATTACAGTATAGGATATATATTTGTTTAATTTTTGTAATATACTTATAAGCAATAAGTTATAATAATTATGAAATTCAAGCATATAATAAAACTTTAATAAGTTATAATTAAAGGATTAATAATGTATTGTCTAAACATATTAACTAGCTTACCTAAAAAGAAAATACAATGCGATACCAAAAATAATGGTAGAAATCATAGACCATTTAATTAATGGTATTTCAAACATGTTATGATTATATTTAAATAAAACTAAATGTCTTTTAAATTTAACAATTAAGTTAAAGCTATTATAATATACACTATAATAAACATATTGAATGCATTTTCCACTATTTATATGATTTAAAATAAAGGTCAAATGAGATAACCCATGTCATTCTCTATTAATGTAACCCAGCAGTTGCCATCCAATCCGGGACTGTTATACAACATTTACAAATGGCTCAATACATGCACACTATTGCTGTAATATTTATAATAATTAGTCAGCGAAAGTTTTAGTATAAACACAAACAGGATATTCTTGACAGCAATTAAAATTACGAAATTTTAATATACACTACATATGCATATGAGCAATAGATATTTGAAAGGATCGCGATTACTATTTAAAATAACAGGATTTTCTAGATGGTGTAAAAGGGGGTTTTAAAAATAAATTCTACTACGGTACTTCGTAAAACAGTACATTCAAACTAACTCATCTACACAAATTGTGCATAAGTTAACATTAGGTATTCATACTCGGTGGGCGCCATATTTCTAGAATAAATAACTATAGCTCACTATATTTCAATTTTAAACAATTCCAAGTAATGGTAGAAAAATAAATAGAAGTGGGATCGAAAGCATATTAAATGTAGTATAATTTCAATCAATAAATGACCTAGTAGTAACCAAAGAGACAGTCGTATTTTAAGTTTTGTGACTGCATCTTAGGAATGACAAGGGCTTTTTAACTTTTAGAGAATTAAATATTATTTCTAATTTATAAAATATGTCATAAACTTGGGAAAGGTGTACAAAGTACATACGCACTAGTAGGGGGATGGGGGTTATGCCAAAGCGTATGTCTCCATGTTAAATTTATATGTACGATTTTAGATCAACAATTTGGGTACGTACTTTGTGCACGCCGCTTTATTACCGTATTTGCGCACATCCACCGGCATGCCGTTATAAATGAGGTTGATCATTTTTACAAAAATTGCTTTATGATACCCTACCGGCATGCCGTTATAAAGTGAGGCAAAATAAATTGAGTTCAAAAATTATTTCTATTGAAAAAAATAAATAATAATAAATTTAGCTTATCAAAATAACTAATAAACTGTTTAGTAAGTTATTTCTTTCACATCTTCACAAATTCACAAAAATGTGTTTAATAGTTGTGTACTGTATAGTATAAGACTATTTAACACGATTAATTAAAAGCATTTAAAATGAATAAACATTTTACTTTCTTAGTCTGATGACCACCTTTTTAGATATTAATAAGATAATATACACTTATAATTCAATGTATAAAATTTAATACACTTATTTGTGAATATTGGTTTATTTAAATTTAAATTTCAAAACATGTTTTACACCTCACCTATAACAACATGACAGTATACCCCGGGGTATAACGGCAGTCTAATAAACCTCACTTTATATCGGGATGCCGGTGGATGTGCGGGAATACGGTAGTTTTTAACATTATAACCAAAAGTAATAGCCTCATATATACATCCATTGTAATAATTACAATAATTGTATGGTACGATATATAACTTTAGTTTAATATGAAAAGGTGCGTGGGAATATTAAATTATATATTTTTAAAACAAATAATTAAAAGGGATTGACTTATTTGCATGATTGCATGATACGAAAGTGAGAGAGCTAGTTTTATGTCAAATTATTATTAAATATTAATTTTTTACAAACTTATTTAAATATTGTATAATTAAATCAATTAATAATTTGCTAATTATAAATGTAATCACATATAAATAGCTCACTCTCCCATTCAAGACCACTAACTGGAGAGAGAGAGAGAGAGAGAGAGAGAGAGCTATCAATATTTAATTACAATTATAATTAGTAAATTATTAATTGATTTAATTATACTATATTTAAATAAGTTTGGAATAAATTAATTAAAAAATTAGTATTTAATAATAATTTAACATAAAACTACCTCTCTCAATTTTCAATCATGCAATCATGTAGATTATGCATATAAGTCAATCCCTGATTAAAATTCGTTCGTATAGTTCTCTATCATTATTTGAACAAAATATGATTTTTGCTTATATGGTAAGTGGCACTGAATGGCATATTAACCTTGCTACCATTTATCGTGGGACTCAGTTTTGATTGCTTTCACACGGCATTTATCGTAGGCTTTTTCGAGTCAATATTTGTGACGGGTATATATTTGTACCTGGCACTATCACCCCAAATTAAAGGTACTAGTACGGGTGTAGGCGCTGGTGATATTAATGTCATGTCACCCGCACCACCACCATACCCCGGTGGCAATGATACCGGTGCTGGAATTGGTGGCATATCTGTAGTCACTTTCCCGGCGCCGTCATACCCTTATGGCTATACTACCCAACCCGGTGCCAATGCTAATGTATTTCATACTGTCACAAAATGAACACGCTACAAAATATAATTAACATTGTTATAATGGAACTTGTAATTGCAAGATTAAATAAAAATGAGCATGTATGAAATAAAATTAAAAATTGTTTAATGAAACTTTGAATAACCTTTTGACGAGTGTTTGCCCTCCGGTGTCTTAAATATTCAAAAATTTCAATATTTTAGGTTGACCATTCTCAAATCGTCAAACTGTAAATGATATTAGGGTAAAGGTATTGAGAAATTTTGTATAAGTCTAATTGTTTCGCTGACAACCATAATCTTAATATACACCAATGGACAAGCGAAACTGGTGTCGGTTTTTTGCATATATCTCTTCAACGCGGATTTGGATTTCAGATATGACTTCAGATTCAGAAACTAGAATAAATTAACAATTTTTTGGTATATAGGATTATATTTTTAACTTACCCAATCATAAAGAAATTTAATGTTGAATATTGACAAGAATATT